ACACCAGGACATCAATAAAAAATTATAAAACCAAACCTGCAATAAGAATGTAAGGATACCAACACTTGGTTAGATTAAACCATTAGAGCACATTAGAGCATTGCCTGTGCGCCGCCGGAAACATAAGGTTGACATGGAATTTCTGACAGAAACCCAAATTTAACTTGATGTGTCCAGCCAGGCGCGCTCCAGTGCGTCCAAGTAGTCCCACACCTGGCCACAGGAGTCAGCTCACATTTCCAAATCATTTGGAAACATAAGAATTTTTTGAGTTGTTGCTAGTTGAGACAGAAAATCCAGAAACCTTGGCTTCTCATACATTGGACACCCCAGCTTCACACACAGACCCTATTCAGGTACAGTGTGTGCTATCTTGTATGAAAACAAATCATATTTCCACCTCTTGATTGACCGAGAAAGCAACAGACACAAAAGATAAACTCACAATCTGTCAGCTTGGGACTTAAAAGTGGTGACTTCTAAGGTCTAAAGCTGAATGAATTTGATAAAAAAAGTTGGTTGGTTATCTTACGGGGCTTTGTGGTGAAAGATGTTTCACTATAAACTCGGGCTGTTGCTATTTGCAGCCCACATGAAATCCATGTAGGCGCTGTCCAAATTACGCCTACACGGTTGTTTTCCGCCAAAAAGCGCCTACATTTATGATGTAGGCGCTTTTTCCTTTTTCAAATGACGCCTACAGGCCGAAAAACCAATGTAGGCGTCATTTGTGTACGCCTACATTCTAAAAATAAAATGTAGGCACTTTTTTTGAGCGCCTACATTGTTTTTTCCATGTAGGTGCTTAAGTTAGTTATAAGGGTCTTATACATGTGTGAATACAAATCTATAAGGGTGCTGGTATTAATATATAAGGGTGTTGGTATTAAATTATAAGGGTGGTGAGATTAATTATAAGGGTGGTGAGATTAATTATAAGGGTGGTGAGATTAATTATAAGGGTGGTGAGATTAATTATAAGGGTGTTGGAATTAAATCATAAGGGTGTTGGAATTAAATCATAAGGGTGTTGGAATTAAATTATAAGGGTGTTGGTATTAACATATGTAGGCGCACAAAAATTACGCCTACAGTCAAAAAAAAAAGATGTAGGCACATTTTCGTGACGCCTACACAATGTAGGCGCTTCAAATTTACGCCTACATTTTATTTTTAGAATGTAGGTGTAGATAAATGACGCCTACATTGGTTTTTCAGCCTGTAGGCACAGTGACATTTTACTAGGCACTGGCAGGCCAGTGAGTACCGTCACCTCAAGCCAATCTCAAATCAATCTCAAGCCGATCTCAAAACAATCTCAAGCCAATCTCAAAACAATATCAAAACAATATCAAAACCATTTCAAGCCAATATCAAAGTCTGGGCTGTAATAACAGCCAAACAAGCTTCCATTCTGAACTCAAATAAACTTTAGCTGCATATCCACACATGAAGCTGTCAGAATAATTGGAAGGTTTGAGTAATCATCAGACACAACACCATTATTATGACCAAATACCCTTCTCAGACCCTTCCACAGACTTATGCAAAGCTGAAATTCACAGCTTGTGAGCTCATTCCTTGACCAACTTGAGAGTTTCCTGAACCATCACTAAGTGAATAGGTATTGGGCAGACACCGCTTGTTGGTGTCCCAAGCTGCAGTTTGAATTCGATTCAATCCAAAAGTGACTGGGTATCAGCTACTGCTCAAAAGATATCAAAGCCAGCAATTTTTATTTTCCATGTTTTTGGAAGAAAAAAAAGCTGGGTGGCGTGCCAATAAGAGCAGCATCCCTCATGAGGCTACTCACGTACCAGCATATGAACACTCGTTCGGCCAAACAAGCAGCCTGTTCATTCCTGTCACATGGATCCCCTGGGTAGCTCAATAAAATGAATCAGGTGATTCTGTGACATCTATTTGGCAGAACTCTCAAGACCTTTTGGGATATAGTATTGAAGATGAGTGAGCTTAATTTTCACTGTGACCCTTAGCTTTGAAATTTTTCAAAGCAAATAACAAGGAATCATGCTGAGCTTTGGACTACTGTGCGTTTCAGATACCCTCTGAAGAAATGTTGCTGAAGTGGTGGGCAGTTGGGCTGCTAAGTCTCTGCCAAATGCTGAGCTTTTGGGATCAAGTGTGATCAACTCACTTGATCCCATTACAGTGCTTCTTATTCAGATTTTGCATAGCTATGTTGGACATATTCATTTCATGTTGAATTTGATTTCCAAAAACACCTGGAGACCTTGGGTGCAGTCTCAAATTTTTGTTGGGATCAATTGGTCCAAGTTTCCAATAAAGTTGGGTCAAAGAAAAAAAAATATAGAATTTCTTTTGGCCCAGTCATACATATATTTTCAGACCAACCTTATACAACAACATCTTCTTTTGAAACAGGGGAGCAAATTTAATCTACCAGCTCAGAAATAGCTTGCAATGCGTCATCAAGTCGTGAGGTGTTGCTTGTGATCCCTAAGCTCAATTTTTCCAGGTCACCACATCTCCCCAAAAACTCACCATCATAACAGTTTTCAGGCAGATTGCCACATACTTTGGCTAAGGGATTGATCTTGTTGCCCACCTCACGTCTAGTATCAAACCTCCTAGCTGCTAGAGTTCTCAACTTCACATTGGCTTGATGATTATATGAAAGCTCATCAATCTTATGAAGCCACTCTCCATACCTGATACTGCGCCACTCTGGCCGTATTGAGCGTTGCTGTCCTTGACCATCATCCTCAGTATCCGAACAACAGGTAATGTCAGGCAGGAGGTTGATGAAGTCCTTGAGGTATGCATTGATGGTAGCTTGACGGTATATGCACAGCTGTTAAATGTTTCAGTACTTTGATTGAGACTTGACAAGTTGTCAAAATGATCTGATGCTTACATCTCGTCGCTTCCTGCTGCGCTCCCTGTGAGGGTAGAGGACTTAATTGAGGACTCTATGCTCACTAAATGGGTCAAGTAGGGTAGTATTATTTTTATGTATAATGTTTATATTTCAATTATAATGTAATTACAATAAAAATAAGACTAAGAAGAGAAGAGGAAAGGGGAAAGGCTGGTCTGTTTGGATAAATCCAGACAGACTACAGTTAAGAGACTCCTGAAGAGGAGGTTTGTAATTATAATATATAAAGGTTATAATTAATGAAGGATGGATCCCACAGTCCTTCCTTTAATCTTTTAAGTAACAGATTAAAGAGTGAAATAAGGTCACTACACTGGTTGTTCTTAAAGTCACCAACTTATGGTTGTTCTTAAGGTCACCAGCCTGAAAGTACTTGTATGTAGGTCACTAGCCTTGGGTTGTTGGAAGGTCACCAACCTAAAATAGTTCCTACTTGGGGGAAGTAGAGGATCCAGAAGGAGTGAAGATATTACTTACTTTTAATCAAGGAACAGATTAAAGTAATGAAGATATCACTAGTCTTATATTTATAAGACTCTTGATGTTACTTCAGTAGAACTTTAATGGTTCTTAAAAGTGGTGTGTAATAATTGCTTGGGGGAAATCTCTGAAGGCTGAGAGAGAGGAGGTTTATATACTCTTCTCTCCAAACCTAACTGTGGTGATATTTGCTTATATCACTACTGTGGTTTTAGGGTTTAATTATTACTATTAGTTATGGTTATCATTAATGCTACATAATTACATATACCTGTTATGTATATTATGTAGTATAAGCATTTTAACTCTTGACACTGAGTTATGAGATGTAAATAATGTTTTATTACATATTACATATGATTTTACATGTACTTGTATATGTAATTAATGTTTATATGTATTTTATTCCATGTTACATGTGTTTTATAAGCTATGTGTACATGTAATCAGTTTTTTAAAACGTGGTTATCTATGTTACAAGTTAGTCTTTGGGTACATACATATGTACCCAGGGCTGACACTCCCGCTGTGCCATTTTCTCTGGTGTGTCAAACTCATTCTTCCATTCTTCAATCCGTCCAATGAGCCACCGAGTAACAATACCAATATAAATAACTTCCTTCTTCCATTCAACATTCAGTCCAAACCTTTGAAATGCAGATGCCCTTCTTGCAAACATCCAATGCTTTACCGTAAAGAAAATCATGACTTGATTCCATGCAGCGTCTTCACCTTCCTCAGCTTCCCAATCAAACGTAAATGGGCCTTCAATTCTTTTGTTGCCCATATCAGTGTGCAGAAGAGCCCTGAAAACACTCCAGTCCAATGGATTAGGGTGATTCTCAGAGCTGTAGTTGACAAAGACTGAGTGGTCGTTGATGATGTCTTCCTTCGTTAGAGGTGGTAGTGACATTATTTGGTTGTCAGTTGGAGGGTCAGGGAAATGTCGATGATTCTTGGTGTGGCCCAGCAGGAATCGTGTGAACTCAGCAAGGGATTTGCAGGTTGGGCTGTTTGAGTTTGGTAGTATGCGGGCAAAGGCACGGTTTTTTGCTTTTCGACTTTTGGGTGGGGCACCATTGGCCCACCCTGGGGCAGAGGATTGTGCCGAGGATGCTGGGGATAATGTAACCTCGTCAATTTCAGTGGATTGGGAAATAAAATGAGGCAAAGGTCTTACCCATGGTTATCTTTCAGTGGTCACAATTGTGGTGAAAACTTAATCAATACTCTGATTGGATGATGGAAAGCGTGAAAGTGCAGAGTATCTTGATATGTTGCTTGGCCGAATGTGGGTCAACTGACGGGTACGGTGATGTGAAACTGGGCAAAGTTCACTCAGGTTAAGCTATCTGCTTGGTCCCTATGATTACATATGTGGCTGTCACAATTTGTGAAATCTCATGTGACACATGTGGCAATGGTCCTCATGTGTCACATGAGGTTTCCTCATGTATCTTGTGGTGCTTTACATGTGGTTTGAAATGAGGTGGGAACTCATTTAGGCAATTTATGGATGAAGATTGTAGAAGAAATCTTTTGCATATAAGATAACAAAAAAACACCACTGATCACATGACAAAATGGTTGACATCATTCAGGAAGAAATGGTCATTGTGTTGCCTTTTCCCAGCTTCTGTCTCAAAAGCTCAATAGCAGTTTGGAGATCAACTGGAGTGTCTGACAACCCCAAACTATCTATGGTTATCTCATCAATCCCTTCAGTCAATATCTCTGGCTTGATGAGGCATCTGGGAAGTGTCTTAGGAGGAAGTTGATCTTCAGGTTCAGGAACATTAGGTGAATATCCTCCTCTAGACTGGAAAAATTCAATCAACTTGTCTTTTTGTTTTTTGGTGCCCTCCCTTTGGGGAGCTGCAGCATTGGCCAGTTGAATCAATTCATCAAGCTGAGGTGTCCGCCAGTTGAGCTTGATCTTCCTCAACTTGCCAGGCTTCTCTGGATCCATTTCGGTCTCAGAATGAACCTCTTGAGAGTTGAGGAGGACTTTTATTGGCCCAGCAAAGTGACGCAAGTAGGGCTCAACCGCTGCTGCCCTCTTTTCACAAAGCTAAATGATGTGCCAGTCAGTATGAGTGCTTGGGCAAATGGGGAATAGTTGAGCATGTTACCTTTTTCCTGATGCCTTTCAAAGCTACTTTCTCCCTCTCAGTAAGTTTCTTCTTAACCAGTTTGTCACTTCCTCCAGGTGTAGACACCAGCTTCTTTTCCTTCTCTTCATCTTGAAAGACTCTGCGCTTGTTGGTAATCCAGCGAAAGAGGATATCCCTTGTTTCAAGGGGAACATCAATACTAGTGTCGATTGGAAATCCAGCCGGTACGGCTCGAGCATTATAAACATCCAACCAGCTGGTAACTAAGGTGTCCAACATAGCCATGTTCCAAGGAGTTGTAGTGGGGCTGGTCCATTGGAAGGTGATAGACGAAAAGCCACTTTGGCGGAACTTTACTTCAGCATTTGATAAGCGGGTTGCATCGTAAGTGGTGACTGAGGCAGTAGCGTGGGCTACTCGAGAGGAAAATTTGGGTGGTGGATTGGTTTTGCTGAACATTAGAACAGCTTCCTTTGATATTTTAATTCGCATCTGATGCTTGACAGCCTCATTTGCTGATGGGTTCCTCGCAAAGGCCACATCCATCTTCTGCTGAATATTAACTTCTAAATATTGAGTCCGTTTTGAAGCATATTCGGCCCAGTGTTCGACCTCTTCAGCAGTTGGTTCAGGAGGCAGGTGACGTTGGAGTAGAACAGCAGCAGTGATCTTAGGAGAGGTACGATGGCTGGCTTGTCGAGGAAGACCCATTAAGGCCCTAGCCCACTCTTGTACAGCAGAGGTAAGGCCTACGAGCTTGATACTGTCGGTGGGCTCCTTCCTAGCACACTGTTCGTCAGCTTCTAGTTTTCGCTGTTGCTGTCTCTTATGGGCCTCCCGCTCCTTGGCCATTCGTAGAGCCACACGTTGCTCAAAAGTGAGTCCGCGTTCGTCGTCTGGTTGACCTGTGGGAAGGGTGATGTGATATTTCAGTTCAATGTTGTAAATACAAAATTGAGTTGAGAGAGGCCTTGACCTACCATGTATTTGATCCATGATGGGATCATTTTCTTGGCCTGCACCTCCGCCAGCTCCTGGCTCGGTGCTAATGTCTGCCGTATGTGAGAGATATTAGCTATGATTTGATGTTCATGTCATATCATTAGGTTGGGATGCATTCACATACCTGACGATCCTTCCATTGGTGGAAAATGCGGAAGAAAAGGTTGATTTGAAAAAGTGTATATCCAGAGGGTATGATCAGACTGATCTGTTCAAAATATGAATATGTAATGCAAGAAGCAAATTTAGTAGGTGATGTGGATGGCAGGAATTTTGACCAGGCGGAATATGTTAAAAGTTGTTGGTTGGGAGGCAGAGACACCTGGGGGCAGAGGAATTGGTTTTGTAAAGGGTTAGAATTCATCCCTGAGACCCACTTGAATTTGCAGAAGGTTTGCAAACTCAAGTGGGACTCCGCAGAAAATTGCCCACTCAATGAAGAGTGGCAAATGCCTGGAGGAGGCCAGTGTGTTACACTTGGTAGGCACTGGCTGCATAGGGGCTTGGTAGAACACTCTTGTCAAGACTGGTGTATAGGTTTCTTGCCAGCTGGGGAAGTGTGCATAAGCATTTCAGCAGATACCACATTACCCAGATTATTGGAACACTGTTGACTCTCAAGGTATTGATGGTAACAACATAACAAGTCCCTGCATTTATCTCATGAACATTCTGCACAATAAAGCAAAGCTGTACCAATATCTCAATATATAATTGGGGATCCAGGGGAGGGACCAATGAACCATTCCTCGCCTTCATGTGCAAGTATTTTCCTCTTGTAATCAATTTGATTTCACAGTCCTTGTTTTTGCTACAGCTGGATTGATGTTGCAAAACATAAGAAGCAAACAAACTGAGTTTTCCATGTTCCCATCTCCTAAATAATTTGATCTAATCATATTTGATAATTTATCCAGGCGAAAATTGACATTGCTGGTGAATATTTGCATAACTGAACAAAAGGGAAAATGAATTCAATGTTTTTAGAACATCGTTTCTTTGAATATTGTCAGACAAGTAGAAACTTACTGAGAATTTGGATGTACGGTGAAAAATGTAACATATAACCGTTAATAGTTGAAAAGAAAATCTCGAGCTTCCTGGACAAGTGCCTTGAGTCGTCGGGTCAACTGAATTAGCCTAAGAATACTTGTTGGATTGGTTTGTCCATTGAGTTCGTCTAGAACCTGGATGAGCTGAATCCTTTGATTCCACATTTCGTTCATGATTCTAATCTTGTGTGCATACTCTACGCATGCGAGGTGTCTTTGGATTATATTCGTTTCAGTTTGATCCATTATGACGAGACGATGATCAAGGGTGTGAAGGGTGGAAAATTGGTTGAACGAGTTATCTCAGATTTGGATGTTATCTCAGAGTTGATTATCAGGATTGAGGGGTGGCTCGAGAATGCTTTGAAGATATAGAAAGCAACCTTTTTATGGAATGGTGGCATCTGGGTCAAGTCATGATTATAGCATATGCCAAGTCAGCCTGCGGAATTCTTCTGAGTTAAAATAAGGTTATAGCATATGCAGTTGTCTTCATCTGACATTCAAGGTCCCTGGGTGTGGCAAAAAAAAACAATGCCAAATATTGGCCATGTATGTGCATCATGGTTGGGAACTTCATTTGGGGAGGGAGAATTAGCATTAGTACGTTGGACTCATGGGAGAGATCACTAATAAGGTTGAAGCAGCCTACTGGGAGATTGGTCCTGGGGATGCACCGGAGAGGAAGAAAGATTTGGCATCACGAACATATTTGTCCAAAGCGGTGTGCTCTGTTCACTATTGAAGACTGAATATATGCATCATTGAGGATTACCCGCCATGATGCATCCCGACGGGGCCGACCAGTCACGACTTGGCGACCCCCCTCAACTTGAGACAACGGCGGATGATGCTCGAAAGGTTTGCCAGGTTATGATCCTGCAAATATCCGCTACATAAGCGGGTAGTCGCAACGGTCATCGAGGGCGCCGGGGCCGCCCAGTCGCGACTTGGCGGCCCAGTTGACCTTCTCATGCCTTTATTTTTGAGGTTGAAGGGTCGCCAAGTCGTGACTTGGCGGCCCCGTAGGCTGGAATTCCGCCTGTGTCAGTAAAAACTCGAGGTATCCGGGGCCGCCAAGCCACGACTTGCGCACCCTTCAATCTTAAGATAAAGGCATGGTAAGG